TTAAATTTTTTATGTAAAAATGTAGATTTGACATTAAAAAAAAAAACCCGAACGGCTTTGTCCGGGCTCGGCTTGGCCATCTAAGGCTCTAGCCGAGCCTCATTTTTTTTGGTCAAGCACTCGGCTCGGGCCCAAAAAGCTCGGCCTAAAAAAGCTCGAGCCGAGCCCGAACTTTTTTTTTCGACTCAACTCGTTGACATAGCTACTTTGAACCAACAACAATACTTCAGGGCTACATTCATATTATTTAAATCTCGTCTTCAACAATCATGACTAAGGGTTAACGCCATTTTTCAATATCAGAAGGCAAAACTTTGCTTTCTAAGCGAATATTACTCAACACAAATATTGACAGTTTCATGTACAGTTCGCTGAGCAAGAAGCAACTTTCGGTTTAACAAACCAATACAACACAATCTGGAAAATTTAGCTGAAAGGAACAAGAACCTTTGCTCATGCCAGCTAATTTAAAGCATAAATAAGTTTGCATAATTTACTTGATGAAAACCAGATTTTGCTTCGGTGAACTAATACTACACTTGCTGGAAAATGTGGCTTTAGCAGACAAGAACATTTGCTCAGGCCAACTTATTTAAAAGATAAATAAAAAAATTCTGCACAATTTACTTGAGTTTCAAGGCTTAGATGAGATTGCACCTTAATGTTTTATTACTTGAAGATCAACTCTCGTTACCCTTCACTTGGATTCGATGTTTCTTCTTTGCTTTACTCGTTTTGGTTTGAACAAAGATGATCATTACTGTTGCATTTTTATATCGCAAGTGCACGATATCGTAACAAGTAATATAGTGGACCTTTGAATCCGGATTATCGTTCACACGAGGACTATATGTCACACTTAATCTACTTTTTCCTAACTCCTATTTGATAAAAGACAAGTAAAAAATTGTAATGGTTATGAAAATTATTTTTCTTTTGTGAACTCCAAAAAACTTAAAATTAATGGAAAGTATAAGAAGATTGCAAAAACTGAATTATAGAAGATTCAAATACGTAATGAATATTAGGGTAAAATAAGTTCATCTAATGATTACCTTAATTATTAATTCAAGATTCTAACATAATGTAGTGTTCGATCGAATTCTTCAAATGTACACATCTCAAGTTCTCATTGAGCCTATTTAATTAATTCAATTACATATCTCTATGCGAATTACCCTTAGTTAAACGAAATATGGTTCTAAGAATTCATATTACGACCCCAATAATTAGTATAGGTATCTATACACGTTATAATACTTTATCGAATTACTATACGGTCAAAGTCTCAAACTCACATCTCGATTCGTAAAAAACTCAAGAAATCATCAAACTATTGGCCAGATAATTCAAAGCATTAAGTTCATAACAAAATCAACACATAAGAAATAATAAATTTCAGAAATCTTGAATAAAAGAATTAAGGATCACAAAAGACTACATTGTTTGCCCCAATTTAACGTTTAGTTACGCATAATGTAAAAGGAAAAACAAATAAATATTTTTGAGTACATCACCGGATTAATAGAATAAAGATATGGAAAAGAATCAACTCTTGCACCAAGGTTTTCTTTCGCTTCCAATCTTCTCTTTAATCTTGAATCTTGTGATGAATTTCTTCTCTTGATTTCGCTCTTCGATCTCTCGTTGTATATCTCTTTTTTCAATGTTTGGAACTCCTAAAACGTGCCTCTTTTTTTTATATTTATAGTTCCCTACACTTCCTTAAATAACTTGGAGGTTTTTTTTTGGGCTTCTCGTGGCCAAAATCAATAAAAAAAATTGTTCGGCGGCTCAACGCCTACTGCAGTTTTCTGGGTTTTTATGCTGGCGCTTCGGCGCCAATTTTCTGCCTCTTCTGTTTCACGTTGGCTTGTTTATACAATTCAATATCCATTTTTCACCTCTTTACCATACCTTCAAAACAACACTAGCAAACACATTAAAACATTCTATAATCATAAGGTTAGGCCAACAATTTAGTTAAATTTAGTATAATACTCGTGCGTAAAACACACTCATCAATTACACAAACATTCTCATGAACACCACCACCATCCATTCATCAAACCTAGAAACTCATGCTCAACTTCATTTCCCTCACTGCAGAATCGAAAATAAAAGCCATTCCTAAAACTTAAGAATATGTTGAAGTGCAATAATGATATGAATTAAATCTCTGTGCATGGATTTGAGCCATTTTGAAGAATTAAATGGAGATTTTGGAGTCATATTATAGAAATTGAAAAGCACACAAGTTCATGTTCATCTCATTTTCATATATTCACTCATATCTTTGCTGCTGTGGTAAAATCATGTGAAGAGGTCTTTTATATCTATCGTTTTAATACGTGAATTTCAATCTCCTTGGTGCCTCATTTTGTTCCATTTTTCGTAAGGGATCGTTTTGAGGTAGTCATGTCATGTGGTTTATCCTCATCGTAAACTTTAGCCCCGGTTTGTTTCCACTAAAAATTTCGATTAAAATCTAATTTAAAGTCAATAATTAATTTTAACAATACATTTCACGAGATTCACAATTTTTCAATCACACATTCCATCAACATTTATCAAAATCTATTAATTTTTTTTAAAAATCTAAACCAAACAGTGGCTTAATGTGGTTTGGGAAAAGAAAATTACTTAAAAGGAACTTTTAAAAATGAAATGTTCGGTTGATGTTAAAAATTAGGGTCTGTTTGATAGCATTTGTTTTCCATTTTCTAGCTTTTACAGTGTTTGATGGGAGAAATTTTCTATGGAAATCATTTTCCCACTTTCCTTCACACGTGCACTTTTTCTTGTTTTTTGATGAGTTTCCTTTCCCTTTCCTTTTTTTTTTTTAACAATTGGAAAAAATTGTAGACACAATTGTAAAAAAAATTATCACTTTTATTGACAATTTTTATACAAAAAAAGTCAAACAAATGGTATTCAGTATGGTGATTTTTTTTTAAAATTTTTTTTTTTTTACAATAAAAACAAATTCTAGATCCAATGGTAAAAAAAAATTATCAATTTAATGGACAACTTCCAAAAAAACCAGACACCAAACTTTCAATAGTTTTCACGTGGAAAATTATACTAATCAAACACAATTAATTATAATTCTCAGTAAAATAAATTATAGAAAATTCAATTCCTTGTAATTAATTTTCTTTTCACCCAAATTTCACATCTGCAAGGGACCCTTAATTTTAGAGTGAACCCAATAAGACTGACTTGGAAAGATGATAGTGAAGTGGGCTTGGTTTCCACTGTTGGATCAACAACGGATTTAAATGGAATCTGATTGGAATAGGGCCAAATGGAAATGCTCAAGTAGGGGTACATTTGAAATTTCACTACAAATAATTGTACTTTAAATGGGTCAATGCCTTTGTCGAGTTGGAAGAAATGCAAATTAAAATATTACGATCCTGATTGAGCCAATTTTCTCTATTAAAATGCATTTTGAAATTGTGTTTTGATAAAAAATGTATAGTTAAAAAAAAATGAATTTACATGTAACATCATTTTATTAAAGAATACATGATTAAAAATAAAAAAATATACATATATTTTTTGAAAATAATGAAAACCAAACAAAGATTAGTTTAAGGTTCGATCGGTAGTCAAAATAAGTTAGTAATACAAAGATATTATTAAAGAACATGCGACGAAGATACTAATAAAATGAAGTTCAAGAATTGCATTCTCAACTCCGATAGGACGAGGGGTTACTATTCTTATGAAGGATTGCTTACATTTGGCTTTTATTTTTTCAAAAACTTATTTTTAACAACACGTTCTTCTATAGGATAATTTTACACGTAAATCAAAAAAGTTATCTATTTTTTAACTACATTTTCTTCAAAAAATCGCTATTCAAGAAATAATTTCACCACGAAAATGGGGCTCAAAGGCTTTTAATTATACAAACGAAGATATCGTACGAGAGATGGACATGGACATATAAACTACCTTTCTTACAGTTTTATTGTCAGTTTTCGTGACTCTCTGTTTGGTTTGGATAAAATTAGATTTTTAGATTCTATTTGTTTCTTATTTTATTGTAAGAATGTATTTTTGAATAGTATATTGATAGGGAATGTATGGTTAAAAAATAAGAAAAAAATTTGAATTTGCGTGTAGTATTATTTTTATTAAAGTTATGAAATGTGTGGTTAAAATTAAGTTTGAAAAAAAAATTTAAGTAATGAGGCCAAACAGGGACTATATATCTTCCTCCTAAAGATGTCTGATTTTCATTTTCAAACGAGAATAGGCTAAAGAAAATTAAATTACTTTTGCACCCAAAAATATATGAACAAAAATTAATGGGGCTGGAAAACCCTCCTGGACCCCACTGTATCTTTTTCCCTCCAAAAGTTATTCCATGAACCGAGCCAGGTGTTATCTTTTTATGCTGCCACGTCATCCGGGGGTGGGGTTGGTCGTGGGCCCATATGATTGGCGCCGCCGAAAACCGAAGACCTTAAACCGCCCCGACTGGGACAAATAGTGGCATTCCCGTAAAATCCATACTTTTTCAGGGGTAGATCAGTAATATAAAAGAAACTGGCGTTTCAGTTTGTTACAGACAGCTGTTTTGAGGAAGAGAGAACAAGAAATAGTACACACTTTGGTTCGAAAACCTTAAAACAAACTCTTCTGGTTTTTGAGGAAACCAGTAAAATGGAGGCCGTCGAGGTAAATTTTCACCACCCCATTCGATGAATTCCACCGCCTATAACCACAGTCTCTGCGGCGGTGCAGCTGCTTTTATATTTTAACCAATACCCACTAACTACCTAACTGATTCCCTTACTTGTTTTACCCTTTTTTTCACTTTTTTGAAGGTTCAATTTTGATATAAAAATGGGGTTTGAATTTGATCTTGTTTTGATCTTTATTACGTTTTTTTACTTCGATTCTATGTGTCTTTTCGTAAATGTATGTTTTTCTTTGTGCGACAGTGTTGAAATTTCTTAACTTCTCGTTTTGGAGGAATTCAATAAATGGAGGCCGTCGAGGTAAATTTTCTACCCCCCCAATATGATGAGTTCTGCCACATATAAGCATCGTCTCTACGGCGCAGCAACCAGTTTATTTTTCGAACAACCCACCAACTACCTAACTGATTCCTGATTTGTTAATCGTAGTTTTTTTTTTTTTAATGTATGTTTGTGTTTGTGTGTGTGTGGTTTTGTTGAAGAATACTCACTTCCTTTTCTTGTAAGAAAGTTTGAATTTTGGTTTTCTTTTCGGTTTAAAAGTTAACTCTTGATTCTTCCTGTTATCTTGATTATTTTTGTATCTGTGCATCTATGGTGTTTTAAAATTCCCCAAAAAATTTGAGGTTTTCAGAAGATGATAGTCTATTTTGTTTTTGTTTTTTTTTAAACTCTGATTTAGGATTTATGGTATCTTTGGCGGTGGCAGGTTTTTTATTATTCATTTGCTGCTTTTAATGTTCATTTCTAAAATATGGCGCTGGATTTTGATATTTTTTTAACATTGCTTGGATCTTAACTGTCTTGGTTGTTTCTTGTTTATACATTTAAATGTGCACGAGTTTCCGAATGCAATTTTTTTTATAGTTTTTCTCTGTTGGGGTGCAGAGATTGACAGCGTTGAAGAAGGCATATGCAGATATAATGTTGAACACCACGAAGGAGGCAGCAGCCAGGATTATGGCATCGGAGAGTAAGGCAGCCCGGTATCAGCATGAGCTGAAGGTTACAAAAGAGGAAGGGCTGCGAATGCTACTGCGCCTTAAACAAATGATGGATTCGAAGGTGAATAAATGGATAAATTTCTGTCTCTTTGCCTTGTTTTTTGTTCTGAGGGTGGGTCATTAAGGAAAAGAAGAAAGAGTGGATAAGAGTGGGATTGTACCCTAATTTGAGTTTGAATATTTAACTTTGATGATTTTACTGAATAAATGTGCTTGATTGGATTTTGCATTGGTTGAATGTCATCTCTTGTTTTTGGTTCCTTAGTGTGGGTTCTGTTTTTGGTATTACTTTCTTTTGTGTTCATTTGTTTGGTTTAATATGAAAAGGAATTCTATTGTTGGCTTGGAATTTTGTTCTTTGTGAATTAGTCAACGTAAGCACTCTTAATAATCATACATTGGTATTTTTGTTTCTGTTCTCTTATGGGTTGATGGATTGCCCTCAGCCTATGATGACATGATAGGAATGCTGAAAAGTTTGTTATCTGTTTACTTTATTTGTTGTTTTGACTGATACTTCTTTAGTAGCGGCAACATCTCCAATTATAATATTTCTTCTTTAGTCTAATAAGATTTTGAAATGGTGTTATGTGCTTGATGGGAAATACTTATTATCCTTTTGGCACTGAAAGAACTGCTGTTACACTTTTGTTTCTGGCAATCATATTGAACTGCCAAATGGCATGATGCTGCTATGAATCTACATGGACCACGTATCTTTTTGGTATGTTGTTTTGACTGTTATTCATCTAGCGCTGCCTTTTGTGGAACTGTTTTTTGGATGTAATGGTAAACTAATCATATCAAACTACCAAGTGAAACCGCTACAAATTTACATGGAATACTTGTTTTTTTGGTACATTGTTTTGACCGTTATTCATCTGCACCTTTTGTGGAACTCTTTGGTGAAGTAGTGGTTAACTAATCATTGCATTTATCCTTATCCATAATGTTTTAGGTAATTGTTTCTCGTCTATTTAGTATATTATAATATAATATGCTTATAAATAGCTAGATGTAATAAATGAATGGGACTGCTATTAATAATTCCTTAATAAGGTTAGTTTCAGCTTCTTCTGCTTCTTCTTTTTTTTTTTTTTTTGTTTAATTTAGCAGCAACAAAAGTTTTCATATGGAAGTTACTTTAAGACATAATTCTACTCTTTATCTGGTGCAAAAACCAGACGTTATGGTTTAGTAATATGTTATGTTAAAACATTTTTGTTTTAGTTCTATACATATTATTAACTTCCTTTATCAGTAAGATGCACCATGAACATCTTTGGTCTATTGTCATCATTTACATTTTTCTTGTGGCATTAAGGCGTGAATAATTAATTCTAGTAAACTCAGGTTCTTGGATTGAAGAACTTCCATAAACCTAGTAGCTAATGTCAATTATTAAAGAAGTAATTATGTCTCGACCACCACACATAATTGTGGCTCTCGTTAATATTGAATGTGAATATCTCGAGATGAAGAAGCAATTTTTTGAACTTCAAATTATGAATTGGAGCATGTTTGGCTAGGCTGAAAAAGCTTACTTACAAGTAAATAAATAAGTTTTAAAACAAATAATTTTTCCGAAATAAGTGAATTACTTATTTTGATAGCAAGGTAAGAGTTATTCTTTAAATAAGTAACTTTTTTAATTTGGGATTAAGAAAAAAGTAACATTTCCAAAATTGTTTACAAACGAGCTTGCAAACTATGTGACAAACGTTTGCAGAATTCATTCATTCTTCCTGGTCCTAATTGCTCTTTAAGTAGGTTCCTTTTTTTGTTTTCAAGGGGATTGCAAATTCCAAATATGGGCTTTAATTTTAATCCTGTACTATTTCCTTCTATTGATGAAGCTCGTGATAGTTAGATTATGTACCTGTTCTTCATGTTCCTCATAAATCCCTAAAATTAGTGAACTAAGCAGATTTAACCTTTGAATTATATTGTCACCCCTTGTAAGGAGACAGGTTTATTGCAAAGTTGAACTTTGTTTGGTCTCTCTATACACCACACACTCACATACACATATTGATCTATCCTAATGTATCTTTTCAATTAATATGTTGACATATGACCAAACTATAGCTAAGGGAAGCAGAAGCAGCATCTTTGAATCAGCTGAAGAAGATTGAAGAAGTTGAAGCTCAGCTCCAGGAAGCAGAGGATATTGTCAAAGATCTCAGAGAAGAGTTGAGAGAAGTGCAGGCTGAACTGGAGCGGGTGAAAAACAAAAACATGCTGCTAGTAGATGAACCCGATTATGCTTGTCCAAGAGAAATACCAGACCAAAATAGAATTTATTCTGCTCAATCCGTTGCATTTGTTGAACCAAATTTACATAATGAGTCCTCTGGACTTTCTGATGTTAGAGTTTTACATCCTTACCAGACCCACGAGGTTCAGAAGTGCTACAACAAGACAGTTAGTATGAACAATTCATGTATTGGAAGTCCAGATTTGCCTTCTATAATACTGAGAAGTAAAGAGTCTGGATTGTACCGAAAGGGTTGCACATACAGAATTCGTGCATGTGAAAGAAATTTGTGGGATAGAGAATCATATCGTTCCGGGAAACATGTTAAAGTGAAGAATACAAGTGTCAAATGGCGTGAAGAGGATAAAGATACCTTTAAAGAACCAGCTCATGGGACTAAAGTTTTAAGTGATCGTGAGACAAATCTATTAGGGGGTGTCAAGCTTACCAGAACTGAATCTTTTGTTTCGAAAAGGAAAAGAGCTATTAGGCAAAGGAAATATATAACACCCCCATTTGGGGAACAATCTGATATGCAACTGAAACCTATTCAGGTACTTGATGCTAATTCAGGTAAGAATCTTTCCAAGATGGCTTCAAGATGGTTCCTGCATAAACCTCAACCAGGAATTCAGCCAAGGTGCACAAAATCTTCTGAGAAGGAAGCAGTTCTTATGGAATGCTGTGATACTCAAGAGGGAATGTGCCAGGATGATGCATTGATTGAGAATTTGCTGCTTTTGAGACGGGAAACTGAACCTGCAGAGATTTCAGGGACCCCATATCATAAACTGGATGCTGAAAATTTGCTAGTGAATGATTTAGAGTCGAAATCTTCTGATATTACTAGTGGGTATCCTGATCAAGCTAGAAGGGAAAGAGTTATTAAGTACACATTTCAGAGGAAGCGGAAGAGACAGAATTCAACTGGAGCTGATGTGAATGTGTCTATTGAAACCGATAATTTGGAAAGACAGTCAGGGAATAAACAAAATGGTGATGAGGACCTAGATCTGCAGAAGCCAAGCTTGGAAACCGAATCATTTGAAGACGATCTGCCATTAGCACAAGTTGCTAGTCAGGTTGGAAGTTCTTGTCCTTGTGTGTGCGGGTTTGTGCATGCATATTCCTGTGTATATATACAATCACAATTGCTTGGATAAAATTGCTGCATGTTGGCATGTGTGAATTCCTTATTCCACTCATTTTTTGATTCTTGGTCATTGAGACTGCTAGCCTAGCTGCTCTGTTCTGTATATCTGTTGAAAATTCAAAAAATTACTTTGTTGCTACAAGCACCAACACGTTGTCGGAGCTAGATCATCAATGCCCAACACGTATTGGACGCCAACACATGCGGACACACTCGGACATGTGTTGGACAGATCATGTGTGCCCTTTTCTTTTGAGAACCAGGTGTGTTGCCGACAAGGCACTGACCTTGCACCAACAAGGCAAATCCAAATAATCGAAACTAACCTGAAATGAAATAGTGATTCCTAAAGCATTAGCCGATGGCACAATCGTGATGGGTCCTGGTCCATGACTATGGAAGAGGAGAAGGGGCTGGGTTGGATGAGGAGACGGCACTGGCTGCTGGACAAGAATGAAACCTAAAAACTTAAAGCTGAAATAAGTAAAGAGGTGGCCGCTGGCTAGGAAAGAAGAAAAATGTGTAAAAGAGGACTGATAAATGCATGGTTGGGAGGGGAAATATGTGGGTGGGACCGGGAAATGAAATGTGAGGATAAATGTGTGAGCAAGCTACAGTTTTTTTATGTTGTTTTAAAATCCTTTTATTGTTTACTACTTTACTTGTATAATTTGTAGTTTGTGTTTTTATGATGATAATTTTTTTTTTTTTGGTCATTCTTATTTTTATTCAACCCAAAAATGAGTATAACTAGTTTAAATGAAAAGTTAATAGCAAAAAATATATAATTTTGTATTAAACTAGTCAACATTTCCTCGACATGTCCATGTCCTACTTTTTGAAGAACCACACATCTGCATGTCATGTCGCGTTGTGCCTAGGTCGTGTTTCAGTGCATGTACCTGCCTCTTAGCTTAGTTGTAGGTTGCCATTTCTACACCAAATTTGGTTGATGGCTATGTATTTCAATTCATGGTGGCATACAATAGTAAGATTTTGGACATATTTTCCTGTGTAATGCAATACTACCTAGGAATGGAAAAATAGAAAACGTATACCAAGTTTGACTTGAAATTGCAATTTTAGTGCTATACTGTTTCGAACTTCATAAACTAAGTTTCAGAATAAAAAGAACAACCTAATTGTTGACATAACAGTTGCTATTGGGTCTTGCAAATATTTTTATTGGTTAAACATAGATTTATTTGGATAAAAGGGTTGCTTTTTTTACCTTTTGACCATTACTAAAATATAGATTGTGAAAGTGAAATTTACTAGAGTAGAGATGCTGAAAGCAATTAAAGTCTTAGACCACAATGAAAATAGGAAAATCTTTCTGTCCCACAAACCACAAGTGTTAGAAGTCAGGTCCCCCAAAACCTAGCATTTCTAGGCATCCAAAAATTGACAATTTAATGCCTGTAAAAGCCAGATGCAACAAAACCTTGTCATCTATCGTAATGCAAAACCCCAGTTTGGTTAGGCTTGTCAACAAGATAGGAGTATGTGCAATAGTAAGGTTGGATGCAATTGAGCAAATCCATGGTGAAGATTCCAGTTGTTTTCATTTTGCATCTTTCCTTTTTAAGTAGTGAATCATTGATGCTTTTGCGAATGGCATTTGGTCGATAATATGGTGAATTGGCATTTGAGTGAATTATTTGCGTTATGTGGTGTCTCGATAAACATACTTTTGTGCTTTTTGTCTCGTGATCTTCATGTTTCGTGTTTTTATATGACAGCTTTTATCTTTGTCTAAGAAGAAGTGGTGGCTGTAAATGCTGTATTTCATCCTTTCATGAAGAATTCTGAAATAGAGGGAGGGCGAATAATAATTTTTTCAGGGATCTGGGCTTGAAGATGCAGACCATCCATGAAGCAGACAACTGCTATTTAAGAGAGAGCTGTAGTTCTAATATTTAAATGCCCATAAAGTATTACCATTACCTGTAGTTTCCAGTGTCTTAATTCATTGTACCTTAAAATGTTGCCAACTTTAGATGTCTTTTACCGAAGAGTTTCAATTTTTTGTTGAAGAGATATTTTCCATTTTACAAAATGGAATGTAAATTATTGCTAATCTTTCCCCCGTCTTTCCATTTCTGGTGAATCATTTCTAAAAATTTTGTGAAACTTCAATTATATTTTCAAATATATCAAATAACTTAAATACAGGTACAGTTGGTAGGCAATGCAGGTTGGTTGTGCAAGTTCATTCTTTTTATTTGCTACAAACTGATTAACAAGCTTCGACACAGTACTACGGATTTCATTCTCATCTAAACTAAAAGTAGCTTAGATTAGGAAGATACAATGACACCAACTGCATCACATAATAATGCCTAGTTAAGATATGAATTAGAGAAGCAGATATAGTACAAATTTCAAGGAGGACTTATATTTATTATAGACCAATGAGATCTTGATATTACAAGATACAAATCATGTAAATGAACAAATGTACATGTGCATGTATACATGGCTGGTCTCAAGGGATTTAATTTGGAAAAACAAGAATATGAGGAGGATGTCTACTAGAATATCATCTATATAGTTGTTAAAACCATTAACTTCAAGTCCAAGCCATTAACTAAGTCTTTTAACAACCATAACCAACAAAAGTAAATGAAGACAAAAGGCACAAATATAGAAGTCCTTGACACTTAAAAGTGTCTTGACTTGCGCAATAGGGTAATGCGTGACCAATAACACAGCACGAGTTCTCTTTCACTTCGTTCACATAAGCACATGCTCCATCAAGATAAATATGTGTTGACTCGAAAAACATCAAACTCGTTGGCCTAGGTCAAGTGAACCAGCCTATCTTCTGTATAGGGCTTACGCGACGGTTAGAACAATGACACATTTGCTTGTGAATTCTGATGTGGCAGACATATATCTACACAGACCAATCAATAGTTCAAGTCAAACTCTCCCATAATCCATTTTCTCTTCGGAGAATTCCCTTCAACTCTACATAATATTTGTCTACAAGTTTTACAAACCATCCATTTGATTCATGACAAACATCATTAGCTCTTGAGCACTATGATTGAGTTTTAGGTTTCTAGTCCATTCATTGTCAGACCATGAAGATGAAGAAATACTATAGAAAATTGTAGCAC